CAACACTGCGTTCATATCTGCTCCTATAATTATTTCATACTCCTGTAAGTTGTTTAAAATATTGCCTAAATATTGGTAAAAAGATTCTGAGTACACATTTGGTGCATAAATACTGATAAAGGCGATCTTTCTTCCGCTAATACTTGCCTTAATATATGTTAATCGACCGTCCTCACTTTCAAAACTCCCAGTAATTGATATAGGCAAGTTCCTTTTAAGGAGTATCAGAACGCCACGGCTTCTTGAATTATAGCAGGCCGATGAAGCAGTGTAATAAACCCGGTTTGCCAATTTCTTTTTGTCTAGGGGGTTAAAATGGCTTTCTTGTATAAATGCCACATCAACATTGTGCCTATTTAGCCAGTCCAAACACATAGATCGTTTAAGCTGCCCATTAAGACCATTTATATTCCAACTTGCTATAGTAATCAATGCCATATCAACCGAGCAAAACAGGTTATAGTCAACATTTTAACCATAATATTAGACAGAGTATACTTTTTACAAGACACCTGTGAGCCCCTCAGCCGCGTTCCCCCTCCCTCCCCCCCATCAATAACATCTATCAAACTCACACACATACACATCTCACCCCGTTCACGCACACATACACACACCCACACAGGCATAATACAAGAAAAAAAATAAAATAAAACCCAAAGATAATTGACACCTGATCTAGAGAAAGTTGGCTAAGAGTTCACCCCAAACTAACCCCCCTCCTTCGTAGTTGGTTAGTGCATTAATCCACCTCCAATATAGTCCCATTTTTCCCAGCTCCAGTGCAGCTTAGTGTATGACTTCCGACAAGATACAGCAGAGTTCATTTGTAGCCTTTACAGCCTCAAGTAGTTAAAAATTAAACCCATACTGATCTGTTGTTGTATTTCTTCTTTAAGTCATATTATTCATTCAGTACCTGCATCAGCTGGCTGCTCATCATCTTTCTCACCCTGTGCATGGCCCTTAGCGTTGGGCTCCAAGAAAAACTCTGCATCCACATGCGAGTTAAAGATGTAGGCTTCTGCGCCCCGGGTCAGCTTTAGCTTGGCTGGGTAGATGAGGAACGGTGTGAATCCACATTTCCTGGCTGTATCCATGGCTGGAGCGAAGACGCGCCGTTTCTTGACAGTGTAGTTACTGTAGTCCGCTGCGAACCGTACTTCTCTTCCATTCACCTCAATCCGCGTGGCTCTGGCCGCCTTCAGAATGCGGTCCCGGTCAGTATAGCGCAGCATCTTGCATATGACAGTGCGGGGGCCCCCGCTGGTAACCCGCTCCGGTCCGATGCGATGGGCTCTCATCACCTCGATGTTATCACCGGAGAGGGCAGGGAGCCACTTTTTGAGAGAAGTTAGGAGGTAAGTTCGGACATCCCCACTCTCCACGTTCTCTGGCAGATTAATGATGCGTATATTGTCTCTCCGTGACCGGTCCTCGAGTTCGAAAATACTCATCTCTAGTGCAGACCACGAGTTGTGAAAGTTATCTTCAACCTTAGTGATACGAGAGCTCGTTCCCTTTTGATCCGCTTTCAGTCTCTTTATTTCGGCAGTGTTCTTTGCCACCTCAGCCCTGAAGTGCTCAATCTTACTGTCGAGTTTTGAGAACTGTTTTTCGATGAAAACACGCTGCGCCTCGAGCGCCGGGTTAAGCATAGAAGCGAGGGCTTCCTTAATAGGATCCAGCTTTTCGTCTATGCTCGCTGGCTCCTGACTTGCTTTGCTTCTTGTTCGTTCAGCCATTGTGACAACACCTGTTTTGGGCGATGTTCCGTGTCTTAGTTTGTTTTTTCCAAAGGAGATATAGTGGATTTTCAGTGATAGTTTGGGAAGTTTGTTTGGCGTGGACGCTTCACGCAGCCATCTTGCCTGCAGGTCACGTGGCCTCCCTTTGATCCAGTCTTGATTCAACCCAAACATCCGCTTCTGCTTTTTATTGATCACACCCCCTCAACAGACTCTTTTAACCTGTGACAGATGCACCAAAAATGCAGTGAATAATATTGTGACTGACAGAGACCGTTCGCGATTACTGGACAGAGGCAGGAGAACCACAGTCGCGGGCCGTGACTATTAAACTTATTGGAACTGCGATCAGTGCATTGAAGAGTGTGTGGGTGCGCGCGGCCGAAACGTGAGCGCGCTCTCGAGTGAGCTGATGGAGCGAGCGTGTGGGTGAAGTTGTTGGCGAACCAGAGAAATGTAGGGAATAGGTGCCTTGTCTGATTATTTTATTTTGAGAAAATAAAGCCCCCGACTAACGCCTGGTGAAACGGACAGAAACACACTTATAAACAATGTTTTGTCAGCAATAGATAAGATTTGCGGTTTAACTCAAATAACTTAGATTTGAACTATCCTGCCTAGCGACTAAAGCATAGCAACCCCAAGTGGGCTAAACCGAAAGTTAGTAGATCAATGCTGATAAAAAGCAGATAACTTGTACAGGAAATAAATTACAGCATATAGTAACATTTACTGGAACTGGTGGCAGAACGATTACTTGGGGTCAGGGGGGTAGCACCAAATTCTGGGCCCCGGGTACAAACAGTCTCAATGGGCCCCCACTACACGTTTCTTATATATATATAAGTATATATCCATCCATCCATCCATTTTCTACCCTTTAATCCATTTCTGGGTCGGGGGGGTGGCAGTCAGAGATGCCACCCAAGTCTCATAGCACCAGCCCCTCACTGACCCTCTGCAGGTGGTGAGTCCACAGGAGGACGGCTGCTCTCTGAGTGTGAGCATAGCCTTGATCTTTCAGTGGGGGCTTTTGGGCAAAGTGGGATTAAGTGTCTTGCCCAAGGACACAACGACAGCAGTCATCAGTGGGAGTCGATGGAGAAGCTGCAGAGGTGGGAATTGAACCCACGACCTTCTAGCCTTAACGCCAATGCTCTACCAACTGAGCTACTGTCGCCCAGTATATATATATATATATATATATATATATATATATATATATATATATATATATATATATATATATATATATATATATATATATATATATATATATATTTAATTGTGCCTTCATCTGGCCATGATGCTTTTCTTCCTGAAACTGAAATAAAGTATCTTTAATGGGTTGCAAACAGATACTATATTCCATCATTACAGTGTATAGCTATTACGTATATGCCTGCATGCCTTTATGTGATATGTGTATATGGCTATTCATATAAAATATATAGTATATCTTATCTTATTTGTATGGACCATGAGTAGGTAAGTTACTTATTTGTTATTGTACAAACATACAACAAAATACTTGTTATGGTTCATTATTATCCACCAATTTAGACTTTGTGGCAAAATTCAATCGATGCAATCTTTTTTTAAATAAGCCTATTCCATTTTCAACTAAACACCTGTGCCTAGCCTTACTCCGCCCACATGAACATTTGAAATGTTTCTGTAAAAATGGCACCAGTGGAGAAGAAGGGGGGCTTACAGTTGGGCATGGTCTGGGCTGTGATTGTCAGTTTCATTTCTGGCTTAAAAGCAATAGTTTACACACCAGAAAGTCTCATTTCACCCTTGTTTACACACTAAGATAATTGTAGAGCTAGAAACCTTTAGACCATTAGACTTATTTACATTATTTTGACCACTAGATGTCACCAGAAAACTCCAAATCGGTGCGGGGGCGTGTGATTTGTATGGTTATAACCAGATGATCCAATGCAGAGGCCAGTGAGTGACCCGTGACTTATGACTGCAAGACTCACGGATGGACATATTATGACAATAGTGGGAATATAGGGTACAGGGTTGTACATGAAAATAACTCTTTGCTGCCTGCCTTTGAAGGAGAAGTGGACAGTGTGTGAGCTCCCTTTACAGCTGCGCGTCTGTGTGTGTCACTCTGGATAACGTATTTTTTTTACCACGTACACGGCACACTGTTAGCTCTCCGTGAGTTTAGAATACAGAAACAAATATCTGTTTTCTCCTGATGTGGCCTTAACACGTCTCTATATACTCACCTCTCATGTGGAAGAACTGAGTAAGCAATTGCTTGCCCTCATTACACTTTTTCTCCCCGTCCTGTCTTTCTTTTCTTTTCTGAAATCCTGATTTTCCTTTCTTTGGAAAAGACATTTCTATTTTTCCCGCTTCTGCCGCTGCTTGTCAAACAAGTCAACTCTCTGCAGCGGCAGCAACACAGCAACAAGCGCACATGTGGGTCGTACCATTTGATCTTTTGTAAGGGGGTGGCAGGGCCCTGATATAGCATACAAATGTGTTTTTAGAGGAAAACTGAGGTTAAAACGTTGGTTATTTTTATACAGGGCCCCTTTCATTCAAATTGTAATAATATGAATATACCACAATGCCTAATACATATAAATATAAAGACACACTTTAGAGGGCCCCTCCCCGCCTTGGGCCCTGGGTACTCGGTACCCTTTACCCCCCCAGTCCGACGCCCTTGCTTGGGGTTAATAATAAATTGATCTTTATTTAACCAGGAAAGTCCCACTGAGATTTCAGAATCTCTCCAGTGGAATCTCACCAGATCCTTGTAGTTCGCTGAGCTTCAGCAAAACACCTCTGGTGTTTCAATAATAGATGGCAATTATCATGTTTTGATAATTTACAGTAATTCCACAGCTGTAAGTCATGGTTCTTATTTACTGCGCAAACACAGAAACCAAACACATAACACAATATTACAGTTTCTAGTTTTATTTTGTGGAATGTATAAGACACTTTAATTTTACCAAAATAAACATTAGCTTTTTTTTAACAGACTTTCTAGCGTTCATTGTCGAACATCAGTGGAGAGAGTGCACGTTGGAGCAGAAGTAGTTTGACATTTTTACATCATTGGAAGTTTTCCCTCAAAATGAAAGATCAAACGTAATGCGAATACCAAAACAAAATTATCATACAAAACAACTTTCAAAAACAAGAAAAAAAGTCCGTTCTCCAAAGCAAGATAACGTTTTTGATTGAACGGTTTGACCTGGTCTCTTCCCTCTCTGTTCATTCGTACTCTGCGATCAGGACCATCATGCCCACTCCGAACAGCAGAGCCAGAATCTCCATCAGCGATTGGCCAAAACTCGCCCGCCCCACCAGCAGCTCCGGAAGCACTGTTACCGTGGCGATGTAGACGAAGCCCCCTGCGGTGAACGGCAGGATCCAGGCGGTGGCGGTGGCTCCCACGCCCTCTGCCAGAAGAGAGCAGGCGGTCCCAGCCAGAGCGCCCAGGGCCGTCAGCAGCTGCAGACACATGGCCTGAGGGAGGAGAAGGCCGTTACCACCTTATACTCATCCCAATCTGACCTGGAATCGTTTTTACAGTGCATCCGGAAAGTATTTCCCTTTTTCCACGATTTGTTATGTTACAGCCTCATTTTTTTCCTCACAATTCTACACACAACATCCCATAATGGCAACATGAAAAAAGTTTTTGGGAGATTATTGTAAATGTATTAAAAATAAAAAATAAACTAAGAAACCACATGTACATAAGTATTCACAGCCTTTGCTTAAAGCTGCACTAACTGACTTTGGGATTTTGAAGCCGTGGACCCGCTGGCCTTTCTCTTTCTGCTCCCCTCCCCGCACCCACGAAGCTATCGCCCCCACACACACCCACTGTTGGGACGGAGTTAGCGTCTCCCAATATGGATAATACACGAATATGGATTTGCACGTGGATGGCGTGACCATAGAACGATAGAACCGGGAAGAGCGGAGGAACGGGGCTTTCTTTTGGATGGCTGTCTTGCTGTGTAAGCAGTAACCGATGACGAAGACACACAAAGCTTCAGGTTAGCTCCTCGGCTTGTTGTGCTAACTCAGCCGTCTATGCTAACGGACCTGTAGATTTCTCACGAAAGTGGGGGCTAGTGGTGCGCTGCGATTGGTCACAATCCGCGACCCGAAACACATTCTCTTCCTTGTTTCATCAAAACTCGATCTAAAATATAATGTCACGCCAGCACAAATCTGCGCTACTTTTTCTTCAAAATGATGTATATCCCAATGCACTACATGGACATGGATAGCATTTTCGTAATGAATACAAAAATAAAGTCAGTTAGTGCAGCTTTAATACTTTGTTGATGCACCTTTGGCAGCAATTACAGCCTCAAGTCTTTTTGACTATGTTGTCACAAGCTTGGCACATCTGTCTTTGCAGCACCTCTCAAGCTCCATCAAGTTGGATATGGCTGTGCACTGACACTCCCCGTCAGTGCACTGCCATTTCCAGATCTCTCTAGAGATGTTCAATTGGATTCAAGTCTGGGCTCTGGCTAGGCCACTCAAGGACATTCACAAAGTTGTCCTGAAGCCACTTTGTTATCGTGGCTGTGTGCTTAGGGTCGTTGTCCTGCTGAAAGATGAACCGTCGCCCCAGTCTGAGATCAAGAGCGTTCTGGAGCAGGTTTTCATCCAGGATGTCCCTGTACATTGCTGCATTTATCTTTCCCTTTATCTTGACTAGTCTCCCAGTTCCTGCCGCTGAAAAAAATCCACACAGCATGATGCTACCACCACCATGCTTCACTGTAGGAATAGTATTGGCTTGGTGATGAGCAGTGCCTGGTTTCCTCTAAACATGATGCCTGGCATTCACGCCAAAGAGTTCAATCTTTGTCTCATCAGACCAGAGTCATTTTTTACTCATGGTCTGAGAGTCCTTCGGGTGCCTTTGGGCAAACTCCAAATTAAGGAGTGGCTTCTGTCTGGCCACTCTACCATACAGGCCTGATTTGTGGATTGCTGCAGAGATGGTTGTCCTTCTGAAAGGTTCTCCCTCTACTGAGGAACGCTGGAGCTCTGACAAAGTGACCATTGGGTTCTTTGTCACCTCCATCACCTCCATGACTAAGTCCCTTCTCCCCCAAGCGCTCAGTTTTGATGGCCGGCCAGCTCTAGGAAGAGTCCTGGTGGTTTCAAACTTCTTCCATTTACGGATGATGGAGGCCACTACTTGTTGGGACCGTCAAAGTAGCAGAAGTTTTTCTTCTCCAGAATTGTGCCTCTAGACAATCCTGTTTCGGAGGTCTACAGACAATTCCTTTGACTTCATGCTTGGTTTGTGCTCTGACATGCACTGTCAACTGTGGGACCTTATATACAGTGCCTTGCGAAAGTATTCAGCCCCCTTGAACCTTTCGCCACATTTCAGGCTTCAAACATTAAGATATTTAAAAAAAAAAAAAAAAAAAAAAAATCATGAATCAACAACAAGTGGGACACAATCGTGAAGTGGAACAACGCCCCACTTTTCAGTTTATTTGTAAAAAAAGTTTAAATTATCCAATACATTTCGCTCCACTTCACGATTGTGTCCCACTTGTTGATTCTTGACAAAAAATTAAATTTTTATATCTTTATGTTTGAAGCCTGAAATGTGGCGAAATGTTGAAAGGTTCAATGGGGGCCGAATACTTTCGCAAGGCACTGTATACACACAGGTGTGTGCCTTTTCAAGTCAAACCAACTGAATTTACCACAGGTGGACTCCAATTAAGCAGTAGAAGCATCTCAAGGATGATCCGTGGAAACAGGATGCACCTGAGCTAAATTTTGAGCTTCATGGCAAAGGCTCTGAATACTTATGTACATGCGATTTATTCATTTTTTATTTGTAATACCGTCCGTCCGTCCGTCCGTCCGTTTTCCTCCGCTTCATCCGTTGCCGGGTCGCGGGGGCAGCAGTCTAAGCAGAGACGCCCAGACTTCCCTATCCACACACACTTCCTCCAGCTCGTCCGGGGGGACCCCAAGGCGTTCCCAGGCCAGCTGAGAGACATAGTTCCTCCAGCGTGTCCTAGGTCGTCCCCGGGGCCTCCTCCCAGCCCGGAACACCTCCCCAGGGAGGCGTCCAGGAGGCATCCGCAACAGATGCCCGAGCCACCTCAACTGGTTCCTCTCGACGTGGAGTAGCAGCGGCTCTACTCCGAGCTCCTCCCGTGTGACCGAGCTCCTCACCCTATCTCTAAGGGAGCGCCCAGCCACTCTGCGGAGGAAGCTCATTTCGACCGCTTGTATCCGCGATCTCGTTCTTTCGGTCACTACCCAAAGCTCATGACCATAGGTGAGGGAGGGAACGAAGATTGACCGGTAAATCGAGAGCTTTGCCTTTCGGCTCAGCTCCCTCTTCACCACGACGGTCTGATACAGCGACCGCATCACTGCGCACGCTGCACCGATCCGCCTGTCAATCTCACGCTCCATCCTTCCCTCACTCGTGAACAAGACCCCGAGATACTTGAACTCCTCCACTTGAGGAAGGACCTCTCCACCTCCCTGTAGAGGGCAAGGCACCTTTTTCCGGTCGAGCACCATGGCCTCAGATTTGGAGGTGCTGTTTCTCATCCCAGCCGCTTCACACTCGGCTGCAAACCGTCCCAGTGCATGCTGTAGGTCCTGGTTTGTTGGAGCCAACAGGACAACATCGTCCGCAAACAGCAGAGATGAAATCCTGTGGTCCCCGAACCGGACCCCCTCCGGCCCCTGGCTGTGCCTAGAAATTCTGTCCATGAATACAGTGAACAGAACCGGTGACAAAGGGCAGCCCTGGCGGAGGCCAACATGCACCGGGAACAGGTCTGACTTACTGCCGGCAATGCGAACACAGCTCTGGCTCCGGTCATACAGGGACCGAACGGCCCTCAGCAGAGGACCCCGGACCCCGTACTCCCGGAGAACCCCCCAAAGAACACCCCGGGGAACACGGTCGAACGCCTTCTCCAAATCCACAAAGCACATGTGGACAGGTTGGGCGAACTCCCATGAACCCTCGAGTATCCAATGGGGAGTATAGAGCTGGTCCAGTGTTCCGCGGCCGGGACGAAAACCACACTGCTCCTCCTGAATCCGAGATTCGACCATCGGCCGTAGCCTCCTCTCCAGTACCTTGGAGTAAACCTTGCCAGGGAGGCTGAGGAGTGTGATCCCATGATAATTGGAACACACCCTCCGGTCCCCCTTCTTGTAGAGAGGGACCACCACCCCGGTCTGCCACTCCATTGGCACCGCCCCTGATCGCCACGCGATGTTGCAGAGACGTGTCAGCCAAGACAGTCCCACAACATCCAGAGACTTTAGATAGTCAGGGCGGATCTCATCCACTTCCGGCGCCTTGCCACCATGGAAGCTGCCAACCACCTTGGTGACCTCTGCCAGGGAGATGGAAGTATCCGCCCCAACATCCTCAGCCTCTGCCTCCGGGGCGGAGGACGTGACGGGGGGGTTGAGGAGAACCTCGAAGTATTCCTTCCACCGCCCGACAATATCCCCAGTCGAGGTCAGCAGCTCTCCACCCCCAACATAAACGGTGTTGGCAAAGCACTGCTTCCCCCTCCTGAGGCGCCGGACGGTTTGCCAGAATCTCTTCGAGGCCGACCGATAGTCATGCTCCATGGACTCTCTGAACTCCTCCCAGACCCGGGTTTTTGCCTCTGCAACAGCCCGGGCCGCAGCACGCTTGGCCTGCCGGTACTGGACAGCTGCCTCAGGAGTCCCCCGAACCATCATGGCTCTATAGGACTCCTTCTTCAGCCTGACGGCATCCCTTACTGCCGGTGTCCACCACCGGGTTCGGGGGTTGCCGCCGGGACCAGCACCAGAGACCTTGCGACCACAGCTACGAGCCGCCGCATCGGCGATAGAGGAAGAGAACATGGTCCACTCAGACTCAATATCCCCCTCCTCCGCCGGGACCTGGGAGAAGCTCTCCCGGAAGTGCGAGTTGAAAATCCGTCTGACAGGGGACTCAGCGAGATGCGGCACGGTGGCTGAGTGGATAGCACTCTCGCCTCTCAGCAAGGAGGTCCTGGGTTCGAATCCCGGTTGGACCAGGGCCTTTCTGAGTGGAGTTTGCATCTTCTTCCCGTGTCTGCGTAGGTTTCCTCCGGGTGCTCCGGTTTCCCCTACCACTAAAAATATGTACAATAGGTCTGGCATGTGCCTCCTGTACTGGCACCCCCACTCCCAAAAATAACAATTGTAAACTGCTTTGAGACTCCAATGTGCAGTGAAAAGGCGGTATATAAATAAAGGTTACTCACTACTTACTCATTCCCAGCAGACCCTCACTATACGCTTGGGTCTGCCAGGTCTGCCCGGCTTCTTCCCCTGCCAGCGGATCCAACTCACAACCAGGTGATGATCGGTTGACAGCTCCGCCCCTCTCTTTACCCGAGTGTCCGAGACACGCGGTCGAAGGTCAGATGATACGACAACAAAGTCGATCATCGACCTCCGGCCTAGGGTGTCCT